AGAAACAGCAATCTATTAGTTAACGGTGTTACATCTAAAGATTGGCTATTTCGTGGTCCGGTCTTATACAAACTCATTGTATAGGATACCCCCATTCGCATGTCTCCACATGAACGACCTGGATCGAGTCGTCTGTAAKCTTTACAGAGTGGGCCGTATYCATAGTGTTGCCARGATAAGGTACCCAGCCTTATCCATATACTATAGACCCTTTAGGTTATTCACGGGACATTATCTACTTGTATATCAGGGTATATCAAATATATACCTCGTATATCAGGGGTATATCAAATATATACCTAGTATATTAAATATATATCCAGTACATATACTGTCCTGGTTACACTAAAATAACCTCGGATGTTTAGTTTATTAGATTTTGGACGATGCAATGCTATGAATTCAAAAACAAATTTATTGAATAAAACTTTATTGAATATAGATTTGTTTTTACACAAAATACAAACTACGAGTTTAAGGCAACACACCTAACAGTGCCAAGGAATCAATCGATCATGTGTTGGTTGGGTGTAGTCGCTCAAAGCAGATTTGGAGCAGACTTCTGCAGGTGTCCAAGAAGGTAGGGTCATTCAATGATAGCTTCATTGACAGGTGGTCCTAGTGGGTAGGGTTGTTAAAGCAAGAAGAAATTGAATTAGCAGTTGTTTTATGTTGGGCATCATGGAACGACCAAAACGACATTTGTAACAATAGATCGATCCCCGACATTACTCAAAAGTGTGAATGGATTGTTCGATATGCAGAAGATTTTCGTTCCAAAAATAGGGGATTTCAACGCGAAAAAAAGTTGATGAGGTACATGTTTCGGTTTGTTGGTCAATGCCTCCAAAAGGGGTCCTTAAATGTAACACTAATGCCACGTGTGACTCTAGAAGAATGAAATCAGGGATCGGGGTTGTCTTTCGAGATGATCAAAATTTCCTTCAGGCGGCGATGCTAGCAACTTTCCCCGAAATATCCCCTCTCTCGGCTAAAGTGCTCGCGACTCGGGAGGCAGTTAGGCTGGCAGCAAGGTTGGGGTGCCTCGGGTGTTGTTTGAATCAGATTCTTTAATGGTAATACAATTGATTCGAGGCGATTTAGAGTGGCAAGGAGAAATTGAAACTTTGGTTCTTAACATTAGGGCTTTGGCTTCTTCGTTCTCTTCGTTTTCCTTCTTGCATGTGCCAAGGGAAGCGAATGGAGTGGCTCACCTGGTGGCTAAGAGGTCTTTGGAGTGGGAATCTTCTTGTCTATGGTTGTCTAATTTTCCTCAATGGCTTTCACGAAAGGTGGAAGACGATTTATTGTCTGTTGTAGGCTGTGAAGTCCCTCCTCAACTTTTAATGAAGTATCTCTTTCTAAAAAAAAATGTCGTCATTTACAATGGTCTGCACTAGTATCAACTTCTAAGTGGTTAGATATATATACCCATTGATGCAAATATTTAAACTAAACCATATAATATTTGATAGTGATGGAAATCTAAGAGCAAATATGGTCGTGGTAATTAGTAATATATACACATTATTCGTGAAAAAAATGTGCAAATAATGGAAGGTAAATCTGAGGTCATTGTCAGTAGGCAGTATCCACAATGATGTAACAATCACTCTCGACAAAGCATATATTACAAAAATCGTATTGACTTTGATACAAATTGAAATCTAAGTGATTTTTAAATCAGTGAAGATATTGTTTTGGTCCCAAGTAACATCATATTGAAATATGATTAGTACATAATCAATTGTTGCAAGTGAGACAGCTTCAATTGGTATATAAATGTATTGACCTTCAATTGGTAAATGTATTGACATTCTTCCATTGGTAAATGTATTGACCTTCATAATTTAGTTATTTGTGCAAAATTAAGAACTAATGTTCATTTTTTAAAAATGGATGTCATTAGCCACCCACCTAAATTATCCTATTTTCTTTTATTTTTTACTTAGCTCTAAACGGTAATACAATCAACTAACACTGATATCCAAATAAAAAAAGCAGCTCATGAAAAAAAAATTGTTAATATGGTAGCGACATTGATAATTTGTGAAGCTTAATTAAACCATAAAGATTAAATAAATTGAAACTAAACCCAAACTGATAGGGATCCACAAGCTCAACCCATAAGGAGTAAATTGAAAAATCAAAAATCATARAGACAGAAATTGAAATTTTCCTCCAAAGGGACCAAATTTGTAAAATTACATTAAAAATAAATTACAAAAATTGCCTTTTTAAGACCCAAAAAGAAATGTAAAGAGTGGTTTCCAAACAAGCCCTCGTATAATAAATAGAGACAGAGAAATTTGATGTATTTTTGTAAAGTTCCATATGCAATAATAAATAAAATAGTCATAGGAAATTGAGTGACATTGTAAAACTCGCCCTCAAAGAAGAAACGAAGTGAGCACTAAGGAGACCCAAATTCCCATTCTTCCTTCCTTATCTCCTTCCTCTTTGCCCTCCAAAATGCCTGC